TCAGAGCCATACACTTAGGGCCCCAGATGGACTATGGGAAGGGTTCGGTCTCTTGAGTCCACTGGTACCCAAGAGCCCGTATCTCAACCTGTATAATGTCTTCCTGGACACGAAGAATCAAACTGAAACCTCTGAAACAGGCTCCATTCCCACTTCTGAAGCTTCAAGCTAAAGGAAAGGAAGAGCACAGTTCTGACGTGTATTAGGCCTTTAGGAAATGTAAGTTGATATTGTGGCATTATCTGAGGGGCAATTCTTAGACTCTGAACTAGGAAAATTCTGTAGTTTTGAACAAAAGTTTCACGTTGACATGAAGTGACTACATTACCAGTCATGTCTCCAAGGGGAACTTCAATCCAAAAAGGGAGTACTTTTAGAATATCTATGAGCCCTGGTGGCACAGTGGTTAAGCGCTCAGCTGCTAACGAAAAGGTCAGCAGTTCGAACCCATCAGCTGCTCCGCAGGAGAAAGACGTGGCAGTTTGCTTCCGTAAAGATTTTCAACCTTGGAAACCCTATATGGCAGTTCTACTCTGTCTTACAGGGTCGCTATGAGTCGGAATCGACTCAATGGCAGTGGGTTTTTTGGTTTAGAATATCTATGTCTAAGGAAGGAAAGGGAAAAATAAAAGGCATCACATTTTCTGACCGATGTTGAGATTACAAGTGGTGTTTAATGATCACTTCTACTCTACGCATTTTTAAACTTTCTGACATGCAATATTTTTACAATTTTAAAAAATAACATTTATTTTCTTTACACCTTAGTTTTCAACAATAGATTCTTAGATATGATACCAAAAGCATTAGCAATAAAAGACAAAACAGGTAAATTAAAAATCTTGTGCATCAAAGGACTTTGTCAACAAGTAAAGAGACAACCGACAGAATGGAAGAAAATACAGTGAAACCTCTGAGAGCCGGAACTCTTCAGGACTGCTTTGTTTTTCCCATTTTTCCGGGTGTCACAAGTTTTTCGCCTTTGACAGGTTGCAGTTTTCGCATTTTTCTATCGCTTGTTTTAGTGGAAAATATTTGAGTTTTCCTTCCCTGACAGGTTTCCGCTTTACACAGGTTCTAGCTTTTACAGGTTTTAATGCATCTGGGAATCATATATTTCATAAGGTCTCATAGCAACCCTACAGGACAGAGTAGAACTGCCCCATAGGGTTTCCAAGGAGCAGCTGGTAGATTCGAACTGCCAACATTTTGGTTAGCAGCTGAGCTCTTAACCACTGCACCACCAGGGCTCCCCATAAGGGTTTAGTCTCTAGGATATATAAAGACCTCCTACCACTCAACAACATACAATTTTTTACATGGGCGGAAAACATAGACATTTCGCCCAAGATAATATACAAATGGTCGATAAACAGGAAAAGATGCTTGATGCCATTAGTCATTACCAAAAAAAAAAACCAAACCCGTTGCCGTCGAGTTGATTCAACTCATAGCGACCCTACAGGACAGAGGGTGGTGGATTCCAAGGAGCAGCTGGTGGATTCGAAATGGTTAACAGCCAAGCTCTTCACCACTGCATCACCAGGGCTCCCCATTAGTCATTAGTGAAACGCACATCAAAACCACAGGAGATACCACCTCATCCTTACTAGGACGACTACTGTCAGAAAAACAGAAAACAACAAGAGTTGGGGAGAATGTGGAAAAATTGCTGGTGGACTGTAAAATGGTGCAGCCTCTGTGGAAAATGTTGGCGGTTCTTCAAAAAGTTAAATGTACACTTACCCTGTGACCCAGAAATTTCCATTTCTAAAAGCCCTGGTGATGCAAATGGTTAAGCATTTGGCAGCTAACCAAAAGGTTGGTGGTTTGAACCCACGCAGCAGCTCTGCAAGAGAAAGACCTGGCAATCTGCTTCTGTAAAGATTACAGCCAAGAATACCCTATGGCGCAGTTCTCTGTCACGTGGTATTGTTATGAGTCTAAAATCACCTAGACAGCACCTAACAACAACAGATACATACCCTAAAGGCTTGAAAGCAGGGACGCAAACAGGTATTTTTACAGCAATGTTCATTGCAGCACTATTCATAATAGCCAAAAAGTGGAAAAAATCCAAAATGTCCATCAACAGATGCATAGATAAAGAAAATGGAATATTATTCAATCATAAAAAGAAATGAAGTTCTCATCAATGCTATGACATGGATGAACCTTGAAAACACTATGCTAAGTGAAATAAGTCAGACACAAAAGGACAAATATTGTACGATCCCACTTAAATGAAACATCTAGAATAGGCAAATGTACAGAGACCAAATGGTTACAGGGGCGGATGGGAGGAAGGAGGGGAGTTAGTGCTTAAGAGGCACCCAGTTTCTACTAAGGGTGATGAAAAAACTTGGAAATTGACAGTGATGATGGTTGCATAACATGGTGAAAGTAATCAATGTTACTGAATTGCACATTTAAAAACAGCTGAAATAGGGAAAGGTTTTGTTATATATATTTTACCACACACACAAAAACAGATAGCATGAAATAACACCATTTAAAAAGAAAAGAAACTTAGCTTCTCGATCTGGGTATGTCAGTGAAAAGAGGGACATTTAGATGCTATGGGGATAGAGGGAGGAACGCGGGTACTTCATAGATTTAATGCCAACCTTAGGCTGTACTAAACTAGAGAAATAATATCACATTTGAGGAACTGCAGTGTCTGGATCACCTTAATATGAAGAAAGAAAAAAAACTGCTTCCGTATTAAACCAAAACAAAACAAAAAAAATCACGTGAATTATAATTCTAAGCAATTAAAAAAAAAGAGAGAGATTACGCTAATGGCATTGGCGTTCCCAATGATTTCTCAAACAGGACAGTTAAGTTTAAACAATTTAAATTTGCTCCATAGGGTTTTCAATGCTGTGACTTTTTGGTAGCAGATCTCCAGGCCTGTCTTCCAATGCACATATGGGTGGGTTCAAACCACCAACCTTTCGGCTAGTAATCTTAACCTTTCTACCACCATAAGGCTCCCTACTTGACTCTTTTGTAAAATAATTATCACAAAAGGTAAGATACTTTTTGCAACACTGTAGTGTGGCTGACCCTCTAGGATCTGCTAAAGTATTTTTATTACTTTCATTATATATGCCTCTCATTTTGCCCTCCTAACATTCGCTGTTCTGATATTGGGAATATGCATGGTTTTTGCTCCAAGAAGTCATCAACCTTTTAAGAGGTGAGATTCTTTGGTAGCAAAAATCGTGGTTCAATCACCAGCATCCACTCCAGCACAGATCACACACCTAGTGTGTATATATTTGTCATGGCCTATATTAAGCTTGTTCAGCAGCATCACATTTTATATCACACCAACTAGGATTGGCTGTATTGTTTCTCGCACAATCATGATGAAAATTTCTGCCTTATAGTCAAAGAAATATAGTCCTAAATGTAGGTACTAAGTTGGAACTAGACATGTTTCTTAATCCGTCATCTGTCTTAAATACCTATAACCATTAAAGGAGAGGGAATATATTCCTCACCACAATCTTACTGTTTGCATGACCAGCAATACTTAACAAAAGTCCTGCCTGATGAAGCACAGAAAACAAAGAAGAGCCATTTTACACAGGGAATTTGTGATCAAGAATATGCCCCTTGAAGTAAGAACAGACCTGAATTTGAGTTCAGACATTGCAACTTACTAGCTATTTGTCCCTGGGCAAGCTAGTTAATTTCATCAAGCCTATTACTTTTGTAAAATGCCACAAGTGTTCCCCACCTCACAGTGTTGTTTTGTGAATGAGGTGCAGTATATAAAGTACTTACCACAGTGCCCCCCCTTCTGAAATACCTCAATAAATAGCAGATATACATACAGGCTGAGGGGTGATTGAAGCCTGATGAGGAGCTCAACGCAACTGCAGTGTGTGTGGGTGCGTATCTGTGTGTGTGCGTGTGCGTGTGCGTGTGTGTGTGTGTTAGGAAGCGGTGGCAGATGAGGCCAAAGTGTCTGGCCTGAGGCTGAAGAGTCTTCCTGAGGCTACATTGTGAAAAAAAGAAAGAAAACAAAGGGAGCACGGTAAGCATCAGATTGGGAGTCGGTGGGAGCAGGGCATTTAGACCCAGGCTAGCTACCCTGGGCATCCATGAGTCCCATGACTCTGCATTTCTCACAAACTCCCAGGTGAAGCTGACACTGTTGGTCTGAGAACCACACTTTTGCTTACCATGGAGTCACACGATTTTTACCTGTTGTCTTAGGAAAAGGGGCCCTGGTGGCACAGTGGTTAAGCATTTGGCTGCTAACCAAAAGGCCAGCAGTTCGAATCAGTCGCTCCTTGGAAACCCTATGGGGCAGTTCTACTCTGTCCTATAGGGTCGCTATGAGGCCGAATCAACTTGACAGCAACGGGTTTTTTTGGTTTTTTCTCAGGAAAAGACAACTTTCAGTGCCGTCAGTGAGACAGAGGCATAATATGCTGACCATACTATCTAATTTTAATCTGGATTTCTAGACTAACAGCTATGATCTTGAGAAACACATGTCTTTCCTCAGTGGTCAAAACCAGGATGTGAAACCATATGCCTCGAGGTGTCTGGAAGAAGTGATCATCTGCACCCCTCAAAATACACGTACTCAGGAAGACTGTTATGTGGGTGCTGTTGCCTATAAGATATTTTTGCAAGACAAAGAAAATACATGTAAGCATCTTGTGACCATGATGTAAGCATCCTGTGAAACTATCTGTAATCATTAACTACAGCTATTAATGATCAGTGTGATTATTCCAATATTCATTGATTTTTCTATAATTGCTTTTCTTATGGTTTGGTCTCTCTTTTTACCCCTTAAGAATACTTGTATAACGAAATCGCCCCAACCACCCGGTTCCATTTTCAATGGGTTACGTAGTTCCCCTATTGCAACTGTTGTAAACCCTTAATAGATCTCTGTTGTAACTTGAAATAGCGTTCAAGTTTTTCTCTACAACACTGTAATGCACCAAGAGACACAGGTCCACCCCACCTACCCGGCCGTCCAGAAGGCGGCTCGATGGGCTGGGATCTCGGAGGAAGCAGCAACGCGGGCCCGCGAGTGGGGGTGGCGGCGGCGACAAAGCGGGCAAAGCGGCGGCGGCTCCCCCGGCTAGAAGTCCCGAGGCTCCGGGAGGGCAGAGAGACCAGGAGTGCGCAGGAGAGCCGGAACAGCGCTCTTAGACTCCAGGACCGGAGTCTGCGGGATCACCTGGTAGTGCATCAGGCCGACCGGAGACAGAGGCAAAACCAACCTTACACCGGAGCAGGAGTGCGACCAAACGACGCTGTCCCCTCGAGGACGCACACTTCCGCTTCCGGTCTCTGGGACTCTCCGTGCCGCAGCGGGGCGGGAGTTTCTGTGCACTAACCCAGAGGGCTGCAACTCGTGACTAAGGGGGTTCAGTCGCTCCCACTTGCATTTGGGATCTGGCCACGGCCGTCTTTATTTCCTCTATAAAGAAAAGCCCAGGTTTTCTTAAATGTGTGCGTGAACTGAAACAGATTTCAGTAATCAAAGATACCCTTGGGGAGCGGAGAAAGTTGGTATTTGCATATTTGGACATTTGAAAAAAATTTACCACGATCTTTAGAGAAATAATTTCTTTGCTTCTCATAAATATTTTCTCATTTTTAGAATTGAAGTCTCTAGTTTGGCTTCTGTTTCATGGTTTGTGGTCTCTTGCATAGCAGGTATCTTTCCCTAGGAGCAGGGTACAGACTGTGCAAACACAGTCTGATCTGTCCAAGTGCTGAGGACCCTGGAGAGAGGAATTTTCCAGGGTGAGAGGCAGGAAGGTACCAGTCGTTCTGAGGGCCAGTAGGTAAAAGGTGAAGTACCTTTGAAAATGACAATTATAAACAGTTTTTACTTTTTTCTCATATATACACACATATAATAAAGTGCTGCATAATGTGTACAATTTTAAGTGTACAACGCGATGAATTTTCACATCTGGATATACACTTGTATAACCTGTGAGATCAAGTTAGGGAAATTTTCCAGCACACAGGAAGATTCCCTCTGCCCTTTTCCCAGTTGATATTCATCCTAGGAGTAACCAGTGTTCTGACTGTTATTGCCAGAGATAAAATTTGCCCATTCTTGGACTTCATACAATCGGAATAATTGTGTATGAAATATATTGTGTCTGACTTTACCTAGCCAACATAATTTCTGTCAGATTTTATCTATGTTGTTGCACATAGCAGTAATTTGTTTTTGTTTTTTTTTTGCCACTGTGTTTTATTCCAATGAATGAATATACTACAATTTTTCTTATTCATTCATTCATTTTATTGTTTGGTTAAAGTTTGTATTATAACTGATAAAGGGTTAACCTAACCACAGCAGGCCATAACCACAAAAGGCCAACTTGTTTGTCAGAATCTGAGACGCTTAAAACAATAAGAAAAGCTACGTCAAAGAAGTGGGACCGAGTGTTCTAACCAGTTCAATGGACTGTGGACGTAAGTACCAAAAACTAAATAACAGTTTACCCCAGGAAGCAAGTTAAAGATCTACCCAATATCACATGTAGCCCACATAACAAGTGAAAAACAACCATCATATGACAGACCCAGGACTCCTGAGCCAAGAGATTAAATTGTTAGAAAAGAAAAACAAGAGAAGTTCACCCAGTCATGATCTTACTTCTTTGTCTTTACTTTAACCAATCATAGTTTGTAAGTAATTTACTCATAATGAGTCAGCACCTGTCAAAACTGTATAAATAGCACTTATAGATTGTACGTCTATGGATTTTGACCTGTTTATAGCCCGCGTGCTTGCAGCCAATTTTCCGTCTTTGTTTTCTGATATGTCACAATAAAAATCTTTTTGTTGCCGAAGGTTTTGGAGAAAGTTGTTTCTGTACAACATAACGCAGCATATGTTCTATCTTAATACATATTTAATGAGCACTTAGAAATAATGTGTCTTATGCTGTTTTCAGATGTCAGATGGATCTTGACTGAAAGCAGAGAATCCCAGAAAGATATTTACCTGTGTTTTATTGACTATGCAAAGGCATTCAACCATGTAGATCAAAAATTATGGATAACATTGTGAAGAACGAGAATTCCATAACACTCAATTATGCTCATGAAGAACCTGTACATAGATCAAGAGGCAGTCATTCGAACAGAACAAGGGGATACTGCATGGTTTAAAATCAAGAAAGCTGTGCATCAGGGTTGTATCCTTTTGCCATACTTATTCAATCTCTGTGCTGAGCAAATAATCCACATAGTATCTGACATTAAAAATAAAGTCACATTCATGTCATAGGGTTGGTAACCAACTTTACAAAACAATAATTGTTTAATGAGAAGCTAGTTTGTTCTGTAAACCTTCATCTAAAGTACAATAATAATAAAAAAAAAATCCTTTAAAAAAAGTTTCAGAGTAAAGCAACAACAATATTAAAGGAATAGAATAAATAAAGTCAAAGTAAGAAAAAGGGTATTAATAATGGTGTCAAAGGCAGTTCACTCATTGCCAACCTTCATGTGACAAGGATTTCAGGAGCACCTTAGTATGCCCTAGGCATATTAAGATAGAGGGCATAAAATGATGTGGAAGACAGGGACCATCCTTACCTACTGAAGCTGGTGCTTTAGTGGAGGAGACAGGCCAAAGATGCAAAGGCCTACAGGAGACAGGAAAGGGACTGTTGGGGGAATTGTCTGCCTCTGTGCCTCCCCTCCACGTTGCCTAAGTAAAGGCCTGGAGCCCACAGCATTCTCTGATAAGAAGGCTGGGAGTTGGGTCACATTCTCTCTCCCAATTCCTTCTCCTTATCATAGAAGCCTTCCCCCTCTTCTGGGCACACAGTAACTTCCTCTGTCTCTTGCACGTGTGTGGGCAGCATAGAGCACCTGGCCAACCCTACTTCTATATCTGTTCCCAGGTGGGAAGGAACAGGGTCTTTGCACCCCGTAGTGGGAGGGCACAAGATGAGGGACTTGCTAGATTGCAAGGGGCGGCCTCAAGGGGTGGACTGATGGGGAAAAAGGCTTTGCGAGGCTGAACATGAGTGCCTTCCTGTGGTCTGCTAGTTCACTACAGCTTGCTAAGTCATCCTTTTGTAAGTCCCTGGCATGTAGCCACAATTTTCTGCTACCCCTATAAAACCTCTGCCCTCCCACTGCAGGGTGCAAAGACCTGCTTTGGTCCTGTGGCCGCCAGAGACTGCCTCGTACATGAGTCTCCCGAATAATCTCCTTCAGTGCCACACTGGAGTTGCCCAGTTCTTTCTTCAGTCTCTCAGCACCCTCCAATTTTGGAGGCAAATTTCAAGTTATTGGTCCATGCCTGAACAGGGACCTAAGCTGGTGAAATGGCATGAATTGGTGACACTTACAACAAACTTAAAAGAGGATGATCTAACTAAAGTTCTTCAAGATAATTTTTTTTTAATACTGTGCGGGCCACTCAATGCATGTCTTAATTTTGACCCAAAGGAGGTCGGTGCGTGTCATGGAATGCTCTCTTACGTGTGGCAAGTGAAAGTGAGACTCATGCAGGAAGGCCAGAAGACAAGTAGAATTCAGTACTCACAGGTGCCAGAGAGGAAACTACAGCTCACCTTGACACAGGGCCGCAGAGGATTTTGCCTAGAGACAAGGCAACAACATGTTGGAACGATAGGACGGGGCTTATGTATGGCAAGCAGGGTGTAGTTCTCAGAGTTAGCATGAGGACTTATTGATCAGTTTAAAAGTTTCTAGTGCTTTAGCATGGGAAAAGCCCAGGACCTGACAAAATAATCAAACCACAAGTTGTTTACAGCTTACCCAGGAAATGTCAATCAACCTGGACAAAAGTAACAAACCCTCTGGGCCCCGTGGCAGAGTCAGGGATGACAGATGGCAGGGTCAAGAGGAGCCTGTCCTCAGGGGGCTGAGAGGAGCCTGTCCTCAGGGGACTGAGAGGAGGCCTGCATGGCTAAGATAATCAGAGAGAGCTGTCCTGCACTGAAGAAAGGAGACTTTGCCTACGTGCTTCCTGATCCTCAGTTATAGCCTCTTGATCCCGATCCCGAGTTCTACCCTGTTACTTCCTTAAGAAACCACTTAACTGTAAGTGCAGTTGGTGAGTTCCGTGAGACTTTGCAGCAAATTGCTGAATCCAAATGGCAGAGGGAAAAGTGCTGAGGGGAGGGAGAGTGACCAGTGTCAGAGATGGAGTGGCTCAGCAGCTTGGAGAATGTGAAAATCTGGGATGTATTTGATCTCTGCCTCATAGGAATTAGCTTTGTGCTGATTCTTATATTTGAAATTATTTTTACAATATTAAAATATTATGTTTTCTCTATTCAATACTAATTTTTGATCTTATTAATTTTATGTCTTCAATAATACTCCGGGGCTTAAAGATCATCAATAATTCTATTATAGTAAGGAAATTTGTAATTAAAAAAAAAAAAACTCACTGGGAATAAAAACTGTCCCTCCTCGTATGTTGTAGGGGTGAGGCTGTAGGACTTGTTTTTAATGATGGATTATCAGATATGACAACAAAAGCACAAGCAGCAAAAGACAAAATAGATAAATGGGATCTCGTAAAAAATACTTTTGTTCATCAAATGACTTTATCAACAAAGTGAAAAGACAACCTACAAATTGGGAGAAAATTTTCGGGAACTATGTGTCTGTAAGGGTCTAATATCCAAAATATATATATGTCTAAAACTTTTACAACTAAACAACAAAAAGACAAAGAACCCAATCAAAAAATGAGGAAAAACTTGAACGGGCATATCACCAAAGGATATGCAATTGGCCAACAAGTACTTGAGAAGATGCTCAACTTCGTTAATCATTAGGGAGATGCAAATCAAAACGACAGTGAGATACCACCTCACCCCCATTATAAGGGCAGTGATCAAAAAAACAGAAAACAATAGATGTTGGCAAGGTTGAGGAGAAACTGGAAGCCTCATTCATCACTGATGGGAATGTAAAATGGTACAGCCACAGTGGATAACAGTTTGGTGGTTTCTCGAAAAGTTGAACATGGAACTGCCATATGACCCAGCAATCCCAATCCTAAGTATACACCCAAAAGAAGTGAAAGTAGAAATGCAAACAGAAACCTGTACACCAGTGTTCACTGCAGCATTTTTCACAGTAGCCAAAATGTAGAAACAACCAAAATGTCCATCAAAAGACGAATGGGTAAACAAAATGTGGTATATACACACAGTGGAATATTACATGACCATAAAGAGAAATGAAGTCCTGATGCATGCCATAATAATGGATGAACCTTGAA